CAGGAGCTCGCTAGGGTCCGCTAAGAGGCCGATGCTGCCGGCGGGCTTCAGCTGCAGGAAATCGCCGAGGTGCAGCACGATGGGGGCACGGCCGAAGTGGTGGTGCGGCCTCTCGTAGGTGGACTCCTGCACGTCATGCGTGTCACTGCGTCCGTGGCAAGCGCGAAGGTCCAGCGCGTTGTACAGAGCAGCCGCCACCATGCTCACCTCCTCGATGACAAATACGCGGACGTGCTCCCACAACCACTTCAGCCTCTTCTGCATGCCCTCCGGCCTCATCTTCGCGTTGATGTACTTCTGGACTCGCAGGGCACAGGCGTTGTGTAGCGTCCTAGCCTTCACAGTCTCCGTGGAGATGTTCTTCGCCTGCGCGTTCGAGAAGGCCACGACCATCATGGCGCCCTTGTCCTGCGCCGACGAGGGCCGCAAATACTCCACCACTGGGAAAACGATCTTCTGCACCACAAGGCCCGGACGCAAGGGGCTACCCCTGCACCCGGCCGCCGCTTCGGCCGAGGATGGGTTACCACCCCCGGCCCGGACGCAAGGGTTTCCCCCTGCGCCCGGCCGCCGTCGTCCTCCTCAATTCCTGTTCCTCGTCCTCCTCCTCCTCCTCCTCCTACTCCTCCGCCTCCTCCTCCTCCTCCTCCTCAGAGCACAACAGTGACGACAGGTACGAAAACCCGAGGACTCGTGTAGCTGCGGGACCCACCATCATGATGCGTCATCATTCCCGATCGTGCCGCGAGCGGGATGAGGCACATCCGTGCGAGTTCACCTTCGATCCTCAAAATCGGTCCTAAAATCGGTCCTCAGACCTCCAAGTGACGACAGTTAGTAGAATCTGATGACCCACCTCGGATTCGAACATGATACGCGAGCCACATAAGGAAGGGCTCCCGCCTGAGACTTCCTCGCAACTCACTCACAGACGAGGCTCCCGCTCGATACTTCCTTCATATTCAAGCCTGAAGAGCCCAAAAGTGACGACAGTTACACGTTGCGGATGACCCGCTCGAATTATTACAATGATCTGCGGGCCCCATATGGGAGGGGCTCCCGCCTGAGACTTCCTCGCAATTCACTCACAGACGAGGCTCCCGTTCGATACATCCTTCATATTCAAGCCTGAAACGCCCAAAAGTGACGACAGTTACACGTTGCGGATGACCCGCTCGGATTAATAACATGATCTGCGGGTCCCATAAAGGAGGGGCTCCCGCCTGAGACTTCCTCGCAATTCACTCACAGACGAGGCTCCCGCTCGATACTTCTTCCTCCATATTCAAGCCAGAGGAGCCCAAAAATGACTACAATTACACGTTGCGGATGACCCGCTCGAATTCGTAACATGACCTGCGGGCCCCATAAGGAGGAGCTCCCGCCTCAGACTTCCTCGCAATTCACTCACAGACGAGGCCCCCGCTCGATACTTCCTCCATATTCAAGCCCGAGGAGCCCAAAAACTGACGACAGTTAAACGTTGCGGATGACCCTCTCGGATTAGTAACATGATCTGCGGGCCCCATAGGGAGGGGGCTCCCGCCTGAGACTTCCTCACAATTCACCCACAGACGAGGCTCCCGCCCGAGACTTCCTTGCAATTCACTCACAGACGAGTGAGTGATGACGAAGTGATGAGTGAGTGAGTGGGTGACGAAGGGGATTATGCTGATGATGATGAGTGATGATGATGATGCTGATGGTGATGATGATGGTGGGCGATCGCATGACGATAACGTTGATGATGATGATAATGAGAATGATGATGATGATGATGATGATGATGATGATGATGATGATGATGATGATGATGATGATGATGATGATGATGATGATGATGATGATGATGATGATGATGATGATGACGATGATGATGATGATGAGTGATGATGAGTGATGAGTGGGTGATGATGTAGGTGTGTTCTGGTTCTGGTTCCTGCGCGGGGTGTCCAGAGAAAACAAGAACCCCACTTTGGATGTGGAGAATAAGACAAAGCTTTCGCGCACTATGATTGCATTTACATATCAAAGCCCAGAGATGGTACCCAGACCGTCCCAGCAAGCCCCACGGTAGCCCAAGGGCGGCCCAGGATGCTCCAAGACGTCCTCAGGAGGCCCCCAGGAGGCTCAAATCTCTCAAACGACTGGGCTCTTTCAGTGATTTGGGATTGCCTCCGTTTTGTTCCCTACGGGCCTCTGAAACTTCAAGGTGGTTCCAGCATCGCGCAAGACAGCTCCAGTCGGAGCCCACCGAGGGCTGGAAGGGAGAGCCCCGAGAAAGATCCGACGACACGCCGACCAAGACGCGGACACTGAAGGGGCCCCAGGACACACAAATAAAAACACACAAATACAAATATTCCAAATATTTTCTCATATTTTATGGGTTGTTGTCTCCCCCCCCCACTTCCCATATTTTTCCATATCTTCCTGGGAATCGACGTTTAATTGTGTCTGTGTGTTTTTCCTCTCCTGAGACACGCCCAAAAGCAAAGAGCACTGGGCAGCACAGCCCCGAAGCGGCCCGCGACAAAAAGGGCGCCCGAGAGGCCCCCGCGCACGCCGGAGACAAGCCCCAATGAGCTCTCGGACTCATCTCAGAGACTTCCGCGAGGCTCCCAGGAGCTCTCCCTGCCCCCGCATGCGCTCCCCGTGCCTTCTTTGACGAGATCGCTCCGTTCCGCGGGCTCCCGCATGTCCCCGCGAGGACCTCTCCTCTCACTCATGGCACTTCACGACAGGCCCAAATGCCAACGGTGACAGTCGGAGGCCACGCGCACCCAGACGAGACCTCGCTGCACCCTGGGCGGCTGCGAACTGCGCAATTGTCACCACTGTCGCGGGCTCCTGGGAAGTTCAGCGGAGTCGGGGGCCGCACGCACTCAGACGGGACCTCGCAGCTCCCTGGGTGGCTGCGAGATGCGCTACTGCCGCCGCTTTCGTTGGCAACTAAGCCAGCGGAGTAGGGGAGTACGCGCACTCAGACGGAACCTCGCTGCTCCTCGGGTGGCTGCGAACTGCGCGACTGGCGCCACTTTCGTGAACGTGGGCTCCCGGAAGGCCCAGCAGTCGGGGAAAAACGGGGGGGGATCCAGCCGAGAGCGCATGGCTCCCTGGGAGGCTACGAAGGGCGCCATTGCCGCCACTGTCGTAGGGTCGTGGGAGGTTCGGCGGAGATGGGGGCAGCACAGCTCGTGCATATCTGGCGATATGTTCTTCGGTATGGAGCGTTCATGCAAACAGTCCCCTCGCGTGGAGAAGAGATTGGGCAAGTCTCGGGTAGGTAGTGTTCCGAGTGGGGTCTTGGTCCAACCTGCCGGCCACCCGACGATTCCCAGAAGGTAGGAAGCAGGGCCCCTGACTCCTCCAGCACGGGCCAGATGGTCCAAGATGGCCTCAAAGACGCCTCCATGGCGGCGACGATGGCCCCCAGGGAGGCGAAGATGGCCGAAGATGGCCTCCAAGACGGTGCCTGGACGCCTCATAGACGGCCAGGCTAACCCCAGGACGGCCCAAGATGTCCTTCAGATGGCCCAAGGCGCCCCAAGAGGGCTCCGAGAGGGCTCCAAGAAGACCTTCTGGAGCCCAAAATCATTTCCCAAACAGCGCTTGTACTTAGGAATCCTTACTTGGTTTAACCATCTCGGGGTGAGTGGCGGCTTTTGCGAGCGGTGTCGCCCGTCGCCTCCGCTTCCTCCCTCCGTCCCCTCCCTCCCATCCCCCCCCTCCTCATCCTTCTCCTCCTCCTCCTCCTCCTCCATCTCCTCCTCCTCCTCTTCCTCCTCCTCCTCCTCCTCTTCCTCCTCCTCCTCTTCCTTCTCCTCCTCCTCCTCCTCCTCCTCCTCCTCCTCCTCCTCCTCCTCCGCCTCCGCCTCCGCCTCTGCCTCCTCCATTCCTTCTCCTTATAGATAACTCTGCCTGTCGCACCCCGAGGCCAGTTTTTAGGGTGGGCCGGGCGTTTCGCCTGAGACTTCCTCACCACTTATGACTCCAGATCGTAAGAAGTGACACAGGTTTCACGGGTTGAGGGCGGGTGGTTTTCAAAATGTGGTTCTCGCCTTAGCGCCGCGCACACTCGTATAATAAAACTGCAAGAGCTCCACGGATTGGGGGCGGGTGGTTTTCAAAATGTGGCTCTCGCCTTTAGCGCCGCGCACATTCGGTTTAAAATGTTGCAAGAGCTTCACGGATCGAGGGCGGGTGGTGTTCAAAATGTGGCTCTCGTCTTAGCGCCGCGCACATTCGTTTTCAAATTTGCAAGAGCTTCACGGATTGAGAACGGCGCGTTGTCCAAATGTGGCGCGCGCCTTAGCGCCGCGCACATTCTTTTTACAAAACTGCAAGGGCTTCACGGATTGAGGTCGGGTGGTTTTCAAAATGTGGCTCTCGCTTTAGCACCGCGAACATGTATTTTAAAAAATTGCACGAGTTTCGAGGATTTGAGGGCGGCTCCTTTTCAAAATGTGGCTCTCGCCTTAGCACCGCGGACATTCATCTTAAGAAATTACAAGAGCTTCACGGATGCCCATCATCAACGTACCAGAAATTGCGTTCTGGTAGGATTCACGATTATGCGGGTGCAACAGTTATTTTGATTCGCGGTGCTGAAGTCCCAAAATAGGAGCTATGGCACGATTCCAGATCGTCAAGACGCAGCAGCCCGGTTGATACGTGGCGTTGAAATCCCTGGAACAATGTTTTGGCATGCTTCAGGATCTTCCAACGGCTCTTCCAACGAGGCAGTTCCCTCAATGGAAATGAGCCGTTGTGGGAGCCTATGAAGAGAGAGCTTGGAGGGAGGCTTAATTCCAACATCGTTGATGACTCTTGGTTTTACACTGGTCCTCCTCCTCCTCCTCCTCGTCCTCCTCCTCCTCCACCTCCTCCTCCTCCTCTTCCTCCTCCTCCTCCTCCTCCTCCACCTCCTCCTCCTCCTCCTCCTCCTTCACTCTTTCGCGGAGAGAAGAGGAGGCAGGGTCGCCCTGGCGCGCACTGGCCTCGAGCGAGTTCTGCTCCGCCTGCCGGATCCTCTGGTTCAGCAGGCCACCTCCGCCAGGCATCCGCGGAAGGGGTCGGGCGGGGAGCCAGGCTCTTCGACCTCGTCCTCGTCCCACCTCTGTCACCTTCTCCCTCCTCCTTCGTCGTTTACATATCATTATCCTTCCTCCCTCTCCCCCTCCTCCTCCCCCTCCTCCTCCTCCTCCTCCTCCTCCAGGATTGTAGTTTCCCAAGGGCCCAGAACACCAATTTCCTGGGCGCTTCCGGGCGCTCTTGGGCGCTCCTGGGGCGTTCCACATGGGCCTCTAGGACGATTACAACGCCCCAAACGACCCGGAGAAGTTCGCGGAGCCCCCCACCAAGCGCCCAAGACGGTCAAGAGGGCCCCTGGACGGCCCAAGAGGACTCCAAGACGCTCAAAGCGGCCCTCAAGAGGGCCCCTAGAAGCAAAAATCGCCCCATGCCCTTCAAAAAACATAGAACTTTAGAATATTCGCCTCTTGGGGATTTCACAACGTCCAAGTCGTCCCCAGAGGACCCCAAAATCACCCCAAGACAGCCCAATAGGCCCCGTAGAGGGCTCCAAGACCGCCCATGAGGGCACCAAGACGGTCCAAGAAGCCCCCAAGACGGCCCCAGGACGGCCCCAAGAGGAGGCCCACAGGGGGAACCCGAACGGACATTTCGAACCTTCGGCCCCAAGAAGCCCCCAATAGGCCCCAAGAAGCCCCCAATAGGCCCCAAGAGGCCCCCAAGAGGCCCCAAAAGGCCCCCAAGAGGCTCCCAAAAGACCCAATAACTGCTTCCCAAAGGAGACCCCAAGAAGGATCCCTGAGGACTCTGACCCACAAGCCAGGCACGGTGGCGGGATGGGCCGGAGGCCCAGACGTCTTGGAAGGACGGTCTGGGCGTTTCGCCTGAGACTTCCCCACCATGTATGATCCTGAAGCTTTCCTCCTCCTCCTCCTCCTCCTCCTCCTCCTCCTCCTCCTCCTCCTCCTCCTCCTCCTCCTCCTCCTCCTCCTCAAGGCGGGTCGTTTTCAGAAGGTACTCTCGCCTTAGCGCCACGCACGCTCGTCTCAAGAGAGCGCAGCAGCTTCCAAGGTGGAGCACAGGTGGTGTTCAGAGTGCGGCTCTCGCCTTACCGCCGCGCACACTCGTCTTTCAAAATGTGGTTCTCTCCTCAATGCCGCGCGCATTCGTCTGAAAACTTTGCAACGGGATCGAGAATGGAGGGCGTTTCCCTCTCAAAGTGCGGCTCTCGACTTACAGCAACGCACATTCGTCTTAAAAGCTTGCAACAGCTTCAAAGATTGACCACAGGTCGTGTTCAAAATGTGGCCCTCGCCTTAGCGCCACGCAATCGTCTTAAAATGTGGCTCTTGACCTAGCGCCGCCAGAGCTCGCAACAGCTTCAAGGATGGGAGTAAACTTTCAAGTGTGGCTCTCGATTCAGCGCCGCGCACTTTCCTCCCAACACCTAACAACAGTTCCAAGGATTGAGCGCAGGTCGTGTTCAACATATTGCTCTCGCCAAAGCGCCGCGCTCCTCCGCTTGTACACATCAACTGGAGGGTTGGAGGAATGATCTCCTTCAACATGGAACACTGCCGCTAGAGATGTCAATCATCTCAAAGCCGGAACTTCAACACATGTAGCACTGCACTGATACATGGCGACTCGTTTTCAAACTGGAGCTCTCGCTTGAAAGCTCTTCGGGGTTGAAAACCCCAAGCGTAAAATTGTGCAACAGTCAGTGTCTCAAACGGCCCTCCTCCGACCCTGAGATCCGACGTGGCGAAAAAGAAGCAACATCGTTCAAAATCACACCCAGAGCCCTAGACCCCATCTTTCTGCATCAATTTTCGATCCGGATCGATCTGCGAGGGTCCTGGGGCCGGAAAAAAAGCGGAAACGCCCGGCTCGAATAATTGGGACGCCAGGATCTCAGGGAGTATGACGGGCAACGATAGGGGGGGACTGGCATAGGGACGGATGCATCGACCTGGAATCGGCGATACATCGCCGATAGATGGGCGATAGGCCTCCGATATAGTGAATCCGTACCTTGCTGGGCAGGTCGGGGCCATCGGGCCCCTATCGGCGATTCGTGGGCGATTTGGGGGTCGATGCACCCCCCCAATGCCTATCCCCCCCCTATCGTTGCCCCTGAGAGTAATAGACGAGCGCGTTCCGCTGCTCGCGAAGGAACTACTCGCCAATGGCCTGGATCCGCCACGGGGGACCTACGATCAAGTACATGGAAGCAGGCATGTGTCTTTCGAACGTTTGCGAGTTGGCACTTTGCGAGAAGTGGAACGCGCTCGGTGAAGTAAGGCCTTCGCAGTCTCAGGGCCCCTCCGGCGCGAGCGAGCAGCCGCGCGCGGGGCCGCCGCACATGCCGGCCGGGTTCTTGCTCAGCAGGGACCGCGCCTGGCCGCGCGCGCCCGCCCCCACGGGGAGCGCCGCGCAGGGCCCTCCACCTCCTCCTCCCTCCTCCTCTCCTCCTCCTCCTCCTCCTCCTCCTCCTCCTCCTCCTCCTCCTCCTCCTCCTCCTCCTCCTCCTCCTCCTCCTCTCCTCCTCCCTCCTCCTCCTCCTCCTCCTCTCCTCCTCCTCCTCCTCCTCCTCCTCCTCTCCTCCTCCTCCTCCTCCTCCTCCTCCTCCTCCTCCTCCTCCTCCTCCTCCTCCTCCTCCTCCTCCTTTTCCTCGATGCTCAATCCTTCAACCGCGGTCCTCGATCCCCCCTCTCGTCCGACTTGGCCGTGCCGAAGAGCCCGAGAGTCCGTCGGGGGGGGAGGGGCAGGGGGGAAGGAGGGCCGAGGGTCGAGGAGGGCAGGGGGTGAGGGGCGAGGAGGCGGGGCGTTGGGGGTGAGGGGTGAGGGGGTGAGGAGCGAGGAGGGCGAGGGAGGCCGAGGGAGGGGGTTGGGGGGCGGGGAGGCGGGGCGTTGGGGGCGAGGAGGCCGAGGGAGGGGGTGAGGGGCGAGGAGGGGTGAGGGGTGAGGGTCTCTGGGACGCTCTGCAACGAGCGCAGGGCGCAGGGGGGGGGGGGGGGGAAGGGGGCAAACCTCGCCACGGTGGCGCACCGCCCCGAGGGCCGGAGCTCCCGCGCCGTGCGCGGTCGCTGCCAGGTTGTCGGCGGGGGCGGCTCCTCCCACAAGAATACGCTGGAGCTCGGAATATCATTCGCCGTGTCGTCTCCCCCCGCTCCTCACAGTCTGCGAGGGGCGGGGTGGTTCCTCCTCCTCTCCCCCCTTCCCCCCGCCCGCTCCTCAGAGTCTGTGAGGGGCGGGATGGCCCCTTCTCCTCTTCCCCCTCCTCTCCATGCAGTGGCCCAGGGGGGCGGGGAGCGGGCTGGGCAATTGGTAGTGCTCCTGACCACGGCGATGACGCCATCACGACCAAAGTCATTGCTACCACCACTGCTGTGGCTGCCGCTCTTACCTAGTATTACTACTGCTGCTCCGACTGGTAGAATCAGCACAAAGACCATGACAGTAATGCCAGTGCGACTGCTGCTACTACTGCTGCTGCTGCTGCAGATTGCTGTGTTGCACGCCTCCTTGCCTGCCTGCCCACACACCACCACTGGTACCCCACACGCGGCGTCACAGCTGGCGGGCGGGGGAAGATGGGATGCGCCCGGCCGGGAAGGGCAGGGGATGTATATGTTTGACTGTTTGGGGATTGAAAGACAAAGCAGCGTGAGAGCGGCTTCTGGGTGTCGCTGCGGGCGTGAGTAGGGCAAAGATAACTGGGACTGCTGAACACGCCGTATTCGGACACAGCCAACCGTACCACATTTTCTTCAGAAGTGTCTTGGTCCAGGAGGAATATTTCACAGCAAGCCCAACAGCATGTTCAGGATACATGGACGTTAGCATTGTCTCTGAAGGGGCCCAGGGACACACACACACACACACACACACACATACATACATATATATATATATATATGTACATATATACATACTAGAACCATCGCGCGCGCTTCGCGCGCGCTCAAGTTCTAGCTAGGATAATCGTCATCGTCATCATCGCCATCCTCATCACCATCATATCCGGCGTCATCGTCAGCGGCATCGTCATCATCACCATGACCATCACCATCATCACAATCGTCACCATCACCACCATCAGCAGCAACATCGTCATCACCATCGTCATCATCGCCATCGTCGTCATCATCGTCAATATCGTCACCTGAATTATCAACATAATCATCCTCATCATCGCCATCGTCATCATCATCGTCGTCGTCGTGATCGTCGTCATCGTTATCGTCATCATCATCGTCATCATCTTCATCATCCGCCCACTCCTGCATCACAAGCACCATAAACAGCATCGCCACCATTATTATCAGCATCGGCGTTATCATCCTGACCATCAGCAGCATCATCATAATCATCGTCAGCATCACCATCCTCAACGGCATCACCGTCATCGTCATCATGATCGTCAGCATCACCACCATCATCATCACCACCATCACTCACATCACGATCACCATCATCAACATCATCATCATCATCATCATCATCATCAGCATCATCATCATTCCCACTGTCAACATCATCATCATCAGAATCTTCTTCCTCATCATCATCCTCATCATCATCATCATCATCATCATCATCATCGTCGTCGTCGTCGTCGTCGTCGTCGTCGTCGTCGTCGTCGTCGTCGTCGTCGTCGTCGTCGTCGTCGTCGTCGTCAACTTCATAATAGTCGTCAGCATCGTCATCATTTTCGTCACCGTCGTCTCCGAAGCTCCCCCGCCGAACTCGAGGATATCTCCGCAGCGTCTTGCATGCCGCGTGAGCAGTATTGGGGATTGAGGTTGTGGGCCTGAGGCCGCCCTGCATAATCATCATTGTCATTATCACCAGCGTCTGGAAGCCTTGCGGGGCCCTTTCGGCGCCTTTTGGAGGCCTCTTGGAGCTTCCTGGGGGCCTCTCGAGGCCTCTTGCGGACTCCTGGGGGCCTCTTGGGAGCTTCTGGTGGGCGAGGGCTCGAAATGTCAGTTCGTGTTCCCCATCTGGGGCTCCTCTTGGAGTGTTCTGGGAGCTCTTTTGGGCCGTCTTGGAAGCTTCCTGGGCCGTCTTGGGGCCCTCTTGGGCTGTCTCGGTGGTCTCTTGGGGGCCTCTGGGCTCGTCTTGAGGCGATCTTTCGGGCCTCTTGGGCCGCCTTGGAGCGTCTGGAAGCCGAACTGGGGAGAACGCCAAAACCTTTCAAAACCCACTAAAAATCAGTGACAATTTCCTATTGGGCCCCTCCCGGGAGTGCTGTCGGAGACCTGCTGGGACGCTTTGGCAGCTTTTTAACCGTCTTGGAATGCTCCCGGGCCGCTTCGGACCTCTCTTGGGCTGTCCTGAGGGCGTCCTGGAGCCATTTTAGAGGGTCCTGGGAGCGTCCTGGCGTCTCCGGCGGGGGGGGGACCACAGCCACTGGGCAAAGTAAGGCCCCCCCCCTGGTCCAGGACCCCCTCCCCATTTTATTATTATTATTATTATTATTATTATTAGTATCATTATTATTATTATTATTATTATTATTATTATTATAATCATTGATATTATTATTATCATCATTATTATTATGTATATATATGCATAAACATAAACATACACATATACATATACATATACATGTACACATACATATACACATGCATATGCATGTACATGTACATGTACATATACATATACATATACACATGCATATACAAATACATATACATATACATTTATATATACATATACATATACATATACGTATACATATGCATAGACATAGACATAGACATATACATATACATATACATATACATATACATAAACATATACATATACATATACATATACATATACATATACATATACATATACATATACATAAACATATATATATACATATACATATACATATACATATACATATACATATACATATATATATATACGTATACATATACATATACATATACACATACATATACATATACATATACATATACATATACATATACATATACATATACCTATACAGATGCAGGTGCAGATACAGATACATATACATATACATATACATATACATATACATATACATATACATATACATATACATATACATATACCTCTACATCTACATCTACATTTACATATACATATACATCTGCATATACATATACATATACATATACATATACATATACATATATACAAACATACATATATATAAATAAATAAATATAGAGAAACATACGTAAAACATGTAGGACTGTGCACACAGGAGAAGGACAATCTATAGAAACATACGTACGTCGTCCAAGGCGCCTCGGAAGGCGCAGAATACTCCTCCAAGGCGCGGAATCATGTTCCCGGACCGCCTTCCGGGAACATGATGGGGACGACCTCCTGAGGGCCTCCAGTGGGCCTCTTGGGGGCCTCTCGGAGGCCTGTTGGGCTCTCCTGGAGGCGTCTTGGGGCGCGCTCAGGGCCATTTTGGGGCATCTTGGGGGCCTCTGGGGGCCTCCGGGGAGGCTCTTGGGGGCCTCTTTGGGGCCTCTTGGGGCCTCGCGGGGCCCTCTTGGGGACTGCTGGGCTCGCTTAGGCAGTCTTGAAGCCCTGTCGGGGCTCTCCTGAACCCGTCTTGGGCGGCTCCTGGGCCATCTTGGGGCTCTCCTGGGCCGTCTTGGGACGATTTTGGGGGTCTCTTGGGCCGTCTTGGGGCGGTCTTGGGGGCCTCTTCGGCCGTCTTGGAGCGGTGTTGGGAGACTCTTGGACGGTCTTGGAGCGTCGGAACCCCGAAAAAGCGAGAAGGCCAAAAACCTCGAAAAAACATAAAAATCAACGATTTGGGCTTGTCGGGGCTCTCTTGGGAGGCCTCTTGGGATGCCTTCGGGGCCTCATGGTGCTCTCTTGGAACGTCTTCGGGCCTTCCTGGCCATTCCTCAGGCTATCTATGCGCGTCTTGGAGCGCTCGCGGGCCGTCTTGGGCGGTCTCGAACTGTTCCTGGCGGTCCCAGGGGCCCTCCGGGACGCTTCGGACGCTCCCGGGGGCGCCCTGCACCCCCCATGGAGATTACAGGCAGCACCCCGGGCCGCCCCCGGGCCCTACTCCGATTATTATATATATATATATATATTATATATATATATATATATATATATATATATATATATATATATATATATATCACACACACACACACACATCCCAGGATCCCCCATATTTGGCTATATTTGCTGGGCTTTCGTTTTCCCACCCACTTCCCATATTTTCCCATGTTTTCCTGGGAGTCGACGATTAAGTGTGTCTGTGCTTTTTCCGCCCTCCTGAGTCACGCCAAGCCCAACAGGGCAGGAGAGATACAGCGCGAGGCCTGCTCCACCCCCTGGTGGGCCACCAGAGACACGCAAGCGTTACCCCAGGCGAGAGTGACTTTTGGTGCGCGGCTTGCTGGCCACTGCGAGCGGTGCGACAGCAGCGGCCTGCCAGCTTGGGTTTGGCCTCGCAGCTCAAACCAAAAGACGCGCACCAAACTCCTACAAAAGGTCACTCTTACATGGCGGCGCGCTCAAGGGGGTAGGGGGAGAGGGGAAGGCTTCTTAGAAGGAGGCTGCTCCTCAGAAGGCGCCGGCCCTACATCTCTAGGTGAGACCCGCGCCTTCTAAGAAGCAGGGGTGCTTCTAAGAAGCCTTCCCCCCTCCCCCAGACCCCCCCTCAGAAGAAACCATGAGGTACCGATGCCCGCTACTCCATGGACCTCTCCCGGGGTGCGTTCCAACCAAAATTTAAAGGAGAATCCAGCGGTGGCGACGAGGGCTTTGTACGAGGCCCAAAAAAGGCGACAACGAGGAAAGGGTAGCGGTATGGGTAACCGGTGAGCTTTTCTTATGCGGCGTTTCGACATTGGGCGAAAGGGGGGGGGGTCTGGTTTGGACCTCTGGCTAATGCGACCGTTTGGAACCGTGCGGCCTCTGGGGAAGACTCCACCCGCTCGAAACAGGCGCCAACAAAACAGCCAAGATCTACTCAAAGGTGGGGGGGAAATCTGGACGCCCGAAATGGGTACGGAAAAATGGGTACAATGCCCAACAACAAATGTTGTCCCAAACCAACAGCGGCCGCTGTTGGGCAGGCGGCCTCCTGTCTCGAATGGACAAAGGCCGCGGCGGCGTGGACAGCGAGTCCTGCTCAAAATGGACAGGACATGCTGTACGAACAGGAGCTGCTGTTGGGCACTGCACTCGTTCTTTCCGTGCCCATTTCGTTCGTGCAGAGAAAAGGGAGGGGGGGGGGCCGCGCCGATCGGCAAAAGAGTAGGTAAAATACGCTCACATGCTCCTCCTCTGACCCTCCGCGCGTGGCCGAGGGAGGTCACTCCCGCGTGCAGCCGACGCCGCGCGGGGGCCTCGCTGGCCAGCCTGGCTCGCGGGCCGGAGAGCACCGCGCAGGACCCTCTGCCACCTGGCAGGCTGAAG